TAAAAATTGAAATTTTAATTGTAATTTTGCTTATTTACCTCTGATTACGATTATAGTGAAGTTATAGTTTGCTTCATCACAGAAGCAGAAACCATTCAAAAATATATCAACTGAAATTAAAATCGAATTGTAATGCAAATTGTATTATGAAAGGATAAAAAAGCTATCGGATTTGCGCTTCCAATTAATGTAGTTCCAAAGCGTTATCCTTTTAAATACTCGAAGGCATTTCATTTGAGCGAATGAGACTTCGCACTTAATATGAAATGAGTGGTCGTATTAGTTACTTGTAGCCAAAAAGTTTTATTTACACATTTAGCAAATTGTGTCGGTGTAACACATTTTTAAACTGATGGCGTTCAAGAGTGGCGTTGTTATTGATGTGATTAATTTACGGAATGAAATTGTATTTTGAAGTTAGAACAACCTCCAGGTATTTTCGCTTATTAATAATTTTAATAACAGAGCCTTCAATTCGAACGTTTATGTCTGAGGATTTATAACCCATGAGATGGTTACGATATTTGCCAAGAAAGGCACTTGCCCAGATTTTTGAGGGGTTGAGTTTAATTTTCGACACATTTTGTATTGTTGCACATACTTCTTCTTTATTTTTAAATAATGCAATTTCAGTCTCACTAAAATCACAAATACGCATTCAATAATTTTAATATATAAATATTTCAAAAAACTTAGCGTTATACAGCAGTCGCTAAGATGTTAAGTCTTTGATGTGAAAAAAAAATCATTAAGATGTTTGGCCACTTTATAACTAATCGTTTAGATAGGGAAATTAATATTGTTGTTTTGCGTACAAATTAGGAACTTTAGCAAACAACTTGTTGTTTTTCACCATCCTTCGGAGCTTCCGAATACAACTAATATTATAAGTTGTATAAATAATAACAAATATTGAAGAAAAATAACTATTTAGTAACATACATAACTTGATTCCATTTCCTATTGGTATTTATAAGAATTAAGTGAACAGAAGTTAGAATAGTAAAAAGGGAACTTGGTAGCACTTATTTTTTTAAATTTGTTAATATTTATCAAAAGCTGATTGGAGACGAAATGGAGTTCGCGCGATTTCAACCTAGTCTTAAGGATTTATTACCGTTTTTACAGATTTCCCGCGATCATGATGCAAGCGATTATGTTATTGCCTATTGGTCGCGTCTATATGCCACCGAGGTGATGCTTAATAACACGACGAAGTCACCAGAAGCAATGCAATTGTTGATGAGTATAAAATTTTAAAATTTAACATAAAGAACAAATGATATATTTATGCTTTTTCTTAGTACTCATGTACGAGATGGAAGAAATAAAAAACGCACATGGTACTAAGGAAACAATAGCCGTTAGAACTGCAGCCAAAGCTTATATGGAAAATCATGTACTTAATTTGTTCGCTAATGCAGACAAGCAAGATCGTGAAGGAAAATTTAACACGTTAGTTTAAATAAATATTTTGTTATATTATAATTATAATTATGACTATATTTTTAGAAATATTGTTAAGACATTTACTAATTGTGGTGTTCTTTATGATGTGCTACAAACATTTGGAGATCTTACAGACGAAATGGTGCATAATCGCAAATATTCAAAATGGAAAGCCGCTCATATTGACAATTGCCTGAAAAATGGTAAAACGCCGGTGCCTGGACCGAAAAAGTTCGAAGAAGAAATGCGTGCAGAAGCAATAGCTGCCAGATATGAAACAGCAATGTAAATGCCGTAAGCGAAAACGTCAATTGTTATAGAAGGTGCACCAACATAAGTCATAGATTTATTACCAGAAAGTATTATTTACGTTTATAAAAATTATTAATATTACAAATATCGATAAGAATCATAAGAAAAATGTATACATATGCCATCAAATGTCATTGTAATCTAAAATATATTTAAACTAAAATATTATTTACATAAATGTTTCTGAAAATATTTATTATTAATAAGCAGGATTTGGATAGAATAGAATAGTATAGAAATTAATGTTAGGAATATATTGATTTTTTGTTTGGGAGGTAATGAAATCTATGGTCAGGATTACTTGTTATCAAAATTTCACAAGCATAATCTTCTTTGAAGTCAATTCTGCCAGAACTGGGGTGATGTGTCCTTACCTTCACTTGGATATATGAACTGAGCGTGCCTTAAGCAATTTAGATCAAAATATTTTATACAAAGATGGTTTTTACTTCTTTATACATACATCCATATATATGTGTGTAGGATAAGAATGTTTATTATAATTTTTTGTTTTGAATAGTTCTACATAATTGGCAAAACCCATTATTTTTAACAGCTTTAGTTCAGTCAAAATGAATTGTTATGTTATCATTGAATATCTTACATTGATTAATAGGAGGTATTGAGTGGAGATAATTTCGATTGATAATAGCATGATTTAGTTTTGCATTTTCTTTCATGTTAATAAACTGGATTGCCATTAGGAAAATCTTTTTTATGTAGCCGCCATTTTCAATGACGGTTTAAAGAACGGTCAGGTAAGTCCTGCAGCCACTCGTTGCCATCGACGACCAAGTGCCTTTCTACACCTCCTGAAGGGACTTCACAAGCAAGCTCCAGTAGGCTACAAAAACGACATGACCTTTTTCAATATTAATGTCTTTGCTCTTCTCAATTGCAACTATTGTACTAACCATATACTATCATCAGTTTATTTTGAATAGGTATTTATAAAATTATTATAGTTCGCAGTACTTCGCCGCACTGAGAATTCAGAATCATGTCAGTTAGTCTTTCTAACAGCAAATGAATCTTTGATTTCCTTTTCCAAAACCATTTTAATAGTGTCTTCCCTTCTATTACATCGATTACACTTACCTTCATAGTATCATCGTTTTATTCTGATTAGATATTTAATAGATTATAGCTCAGGTTTTCTGGTATGTAAGGTCTCCGACAGCAACTTTTTCCAACGAAAATTAAATCAAAACTTTATATTTTGTGATATTAAATTCTCTTTGAATTTCTCTTCCATAAGCCGCTGAAAGTTTTCTGTCAATTGATTCAGAAGATAGCCGAGGGGTTGTAGTAATATATCTGCAGTCAACTATTTTCAAGCAGTTGTTGTGGTTTCAAGAACGGCCGGGTCTTCGTCCCGGAGCCGCTCGTTAATCTCGACGATCAAGTGCTGTTCAACGCTTCCTAGAAAGATCCCACAAACAGGTCCCTGCGGGTTACAACAAAAACAAGCACTTATTGTAATCCGTGCTGGAAAAGAAGTCGTCTGAAAAGACGGGGTGCTCCGGAGCGTAGACGTTCTTAGAACCAGTATTTTTAAAGACTTTAGGCGCAAATACTTTTAAGAAGTAGTTATTGTAATTCGTGCTGGGAAGAACAAGCCAATACAGATGTCTGAAAAGACTAGTGACTTTGGAGCGTAGGCTTGACTGTTGCTGGAACCAGTATTTATAATATTTTCGCCTGCTATAGTGTTTTGTTTTACTAACGTCTGTTAATTGCGCTAAAGTACATAGATCCTAAGTACATAATTTTACATCAGAGAGACTTTTATTCTTTTTAAATGGAACACTCAAATAAATTTCCATTCTACATTTTTAAAAATAATTTCAGACTTACAATTCTGTTTCGTTTCTGTCATTTAAATCGATTACAATTTATTTATTCATCAATTCGTTCTAAATTGTGTTTCATATCTAGATTATACACACATAATAATATATATTTTATAAGATTCAAATTGTTTTAAATTAAATTTTGCTATATAAGTAGAAATAAGGACTTTCAAGTTATCTGCATAGTTAATGGGTTTCACACAAATGTATATAATATATATTCTTTAAAAGATTTAACACATTTAAAAAAATAGATTTGCTTAAATTTAACTGTATTGAAAATAAACATAAAATCATCAATGAAATCATTAGAATATCAACATGCATTAAAAATATAAAATATCGTTTAAAACATATAAAATATAGACATATATATATATATAACGTTTGTCGTTAATAAAAAATAGATAATATGCATAAATGAAAATTGAAATGAAATTAAAAAAAAAAACAACAGATAATATTTTCTAATTAATTCATTAACAAATTCCAAGCATCATCTTCAGCGGTTGGTTTTCCTCCGGTGTTCGCTGTTTTCGGTTTCACATTCTTCACATCCAAATTTTCAAAACCTTCACTAAGTTTCTGTGTGGTATTTTGTAGTTTCATATTTTTACGCGCTATCGCTGCTGTTTGACCGCTCATGCTGTTTGCGGTTGGCGTATTTTGATAAGAAGTGGTTGGATCTTGATAATTTGCTGATTCAAAACCTGACCAATCATCTTCGTGGACAGTGCTACTATTGAATTGATTATAAGAACTAGACGTTGGCAATTGTTTGGTATTTTGATTATCTTGCCAATGCCAGTCATTGTCGCTAGCGCCACTTTGTCCGCCTAGACCACTGGTAATATTATCGGTAACAGAATGTGAACGTTGATACGAATTATCTTGATTGAAATCACCGTAGCCAGTATTGTTGCCACCTTGTGGTGATGATACATTACTGCCAGCTAAATTGTTCCAGCCACGTTTGCTTATATCTGTAACCTGTGTGAATGAGAAAAATAAGTTATTAATAATATATAATATTCAGTTATTACGTATTTAGTAGCGTAGACAAAAATTTTAGCTACTAAACCTACGAACCTTACTAGCCACTTCAGTGACTTGGGTTTGTACAGTATCTAGTAAGCCACCCTCTTTTATCTAGAATAATAATATAATTGCAAACAATAAAAAAAACACATACACAAAATATAAATAATAATATAACAAAAAATAGTATTAAATAAAATTAATTAAAATTATTAACATATATGTAATTTAAAAAATTAATGTATATAAATTATTTACTTATTATAAATAAATTTTAATTTTGGGAGCATATATTAAAAACATATATAAAAAATAGGAATAATAATATAACTTAGAGTGTAATAAAATGAAATAAATAAAAATTAAGTAAATATGTAATATGTAAATAAAAATTTATGTATATAAATTATTTTCTTATTAATAATAAATTTTAACTTTAAGAGTGTACTTAAATTTTAAATAAAACTTCATATGTAATAAAATAAAATGGATTAAAATTATTATATGTAAATAAAAAAAATTAATTTATAAAAAATATTTACCAATTAGAAATAAATTTAAAAATATAGAAAACATATATACAAAATTAAAATAACAATATAACTTAAAGAATAATAAAATGAAATAAATAAATAAAAATTAAAATAACTTTAAAATTTTAAATTATACAAAAAAAAAAATCCAAACTTATTAAATTACTTTTCCGAAGTTGCTGGCGTCGGCATTTCTAATGAGAACATACCAGATAAAAACGTGATGGATGGAAAAATTTGTTTTTCATATCTGATGATAAATTGCAATTACGTGGTCAAAATTTTCATTAGATAAGGTAATTAACTGCATTCATCATTTCAAACAATGTCACTTAACAGTAGACTAAATTAAATATTAGTAGACTAACGTAAATAAAATTTGAGATAAAATATATTTTTCATAATTTTGATCTTATAAGAAATGTGCAAAATTTATCTCAAAACCAAACCTTTGGCAGAAGAAACCAAACATAATGTTTATGAAACCATACAAAACTAAAATAGAGGAACAGATGTTAATATTATTTTAATAAAAATATGTTTCAGAAATGCGTCATGTACAGTGAACACTCTCTTGAGATAACACTTATCTTTTCTCAACATATGTTATCTCAAGAGTTGTTTCCACACAAAGGTGCAAGTTGTTCCAAATAATGATAGAAACAGAATTTGCTTTAAGAAGTATTGTTCACTCAAGAGAGGTGTCAATAACTATTAGGAGCATATTCTCCACACAAATGGCCACCCCAGCGGTATTTTCGGGAGAGAACGATCCTTCCTACATGCAACAAGAACTGTTCTAGTCATGCAACAGTGTGTAAGTTCCCAATGTTTGCCCTAACCGCAGCTCTACCCTTCAAGATATCGTCCAAAGCACACCTATCCTATCCCAAAGCACACAGTAATTTGAGTTCAATCGATTCACTGGAACCCACCCTATTGAAGGGGTTGGGTTTTTCTGCCTTGACCCAGGTTGACTTCAATTAAAATCCCTATCCAACCTCAATTCGCTTTTACTCTTAAACATTCCCCACTCACACTACTACTATATAACTCATCTACATCCTAATCCATGTTTAAGTCTTTGTAATTGCTTTGTTGTCGTTGTCGTAACCCGCTGGGACCTAACAGCAGATAATATGAAAAGTTTACAAGACGAATATATGGATTAGAATGTGAAGGGGTGATGGTAGGGTGAAGGGGAATAAGGGAGAAGGGGTGGATTGGACCAGCCCCATTAAAGTGGTTAGGTTTAACCACCTTGCTTTCTCCGTTCATACTACTAGCGCCCACGTCTGCGGGTTACAACAACAACAAGAGAATTTTAATAATTAAAAAACCAGGTCTTAATTCATGGTAATTCATATAATATAGATGTGATACTATTTCAACTCTTATTTAGGATTAGTTCTAACAGAACTTAAGTTAAAATATGTATTTATTATATGAAATACCATCAGTTTAGTTAACACAATCTTTCTCTGATGTACTAATATATATAATATATTTTACAAAATAGAAAACAAATAAAACATGTTTATATACATATAAATAAGATAAGATATATATAACTTAGAAAGAATACACTTACTTCACATATATAGAAAATGTAATGTCATATATACATAAGTATACAATTTGAAGTAGGGTATGTGAAAATCGTTGTTGATCGATTAATAATAACAGACAATTTTAATATAAACAACAAAAACACAAAATATTAATTCAAAGCCAGAAACAGCAAATAAACAAACTACCAGAGACAATCGTGAACTGCTCTGTGACCTTGAGTGGGTTTGATGTGAAGATTTTGAAGTTGGTAACAAGCAGAAAAACTACTTTTTTACAGCGCAAAACAATAAATATACATACAATTTTTAATATACAATAAATAATTAAAAGTTAAACTAAATATATCAGCAGCGAGTGTGCTTACCTTGGAAGAAGCTAAATTGACTGTGGTGACAGCTTTTTCTTTAGCAGTGACAGCAATTTTGGAGGCACTAGCTGATAAGAGACTCCAACCCTGCAAATGGAAATAAATTAATTAAAAATTAAATTGATAAAATTTACATTGCAATGCTTACAGATGCCAGTGACGATAGTGTGGAGTCAAGAATTTCTTGTGATTGGGTTTTCGGTGGTGGATCTCTTGTGAAACCAAATCCTGCATATTTACCACCTTGATTGGGCGGCAAATGACTAAATAAATCAAAAAATACATATTTAAAGATTTATTTTTAAAACATCATATCATCACTGATGGGTTGTTAACTTACTCTGGACGTGTGGCATTTTCTGCTTGTCGACGTGTAAAGAATTCCTCTTTCTGATCCTTAAATTCTGGTGTATTGTATTGTTGATAATTGTTGTCGGTGTAGTTGCCAACTCCATTCTGATAACCATTATTACTGCTGCTGTTGCTATTATATTGTTGTGCTGAAGTTGATCTGCTGCCACCCAAATTACTACTACTACTGCTACTGTAGTTGGAATTGTTACTGTTCGAAATACGTCTTTGCGCTTCACTTAAATCCCAGGATTTACCTTGTGCTAGTGTATTGATTTTATCGCGATATAGAGCTGCAGCTTTTGAATTGTATTTTTGTGCAAATGGTGCACGTTCATTCCAATCGGGTTGATCCTCTAAGAATTCATGTGCATTACGATTTCCACCCACTCTCATTTTTTCCAATTCAATATCTTTCCATTTGTCCATTGTGACCGAACGTACAAACGAAATGTGCACACCAAGGCCACGATGTTTTCCAGAGCACTCTAAACAAATCCATATGCCATAAGTAACGGATACCCATTGAGGATTGTGTGTACCACATTCGAAGCATTTCTGCAAGTATTATAAATTTTATTATTTTATTTATTAAGTATTAAATAGAGAATTGTTTAAAACACACTGAATTATCATCTTGTGGTTTAAGTTCCTGCAATACGCGTCGTGTTCTTGGACTTGCCATCTTTTGTTATAAATTGAAATTAATTTGTGTTGTAACTTTTTGAAATTAGTAATAGAAGTTGTAACTTTTTTTAAATGCAAATATCAAAGGTATATCAAAAGCACGTAAGCAAGTGATGTTTTCCACAAATCCAACTGCAATTGAAGCTGACGTGCATTAGTAGTTAAATATGAATTCATTAAAATTTTAAAGAATGTGCGCGAAGTGTTATAATAAACAAGTATTTATTTTATTGGTTTGTTAGCACTGTGCACTTTTCAAAAATTTTTTCTCCTAAATTTCATAATTTTATTTGTTAAATTTTTTTCTTTACTAAACCAAGCGCACAGTCACACGAATTTTGCACACACAAAAAAGATAAATCAGTGTTTTGTTGACGTGTGTACTGTCAAAATTATAAAGTAATGTCAGATGGCACTGTTGCTTTTTTCTTTCAAGTATATAAATTAACGATAGAGGGAGTTGTAGCAAACAGCTGTTATGACATGTGCAGGAATTTTATAGAAAATAAATAAATATAAAGTTTTATTTTTACAAAGTGTGTGACTGTCTTATTTAAATCTAAAAAATAACAAATATTTATTTGAAAAACTTTTTTAAGTTGTTATTTTCTCTAAATTTATCGTTTATAGGAAAAAGAGCAACAGCTGGAAGAAAACTGGTGGCAGCGCTTGCAGGAATAGCGAGTAAGAATTTGAAATTAATAATTGGTGTGATTTTTAAATAAATTTATTATTGCTTCAAAATTTATGTTATGCAAATTTAAATTAAATTTTTCGTATCTTCTTTCTTTTTTATATCTTTTTCGTTGCACATGTGATACAATATATTCATTTTTAATACTAACGCTCTTTTTATTGTAACTGGTGTCCAGTGTGGCTATTCTCAATTCACCTTAGAATATCGACGCTAACTTAGAAGGTAGATATTAAAATAAATTACTTAAATACATAAATAAGAGTTTGTTTTTAAATTATCTTTGCTAATTCTTGTTGTTATTTAAGCAGGTAATAATCGTTTACCCAAAAAAGAGCTGACCGGAGTAAGTGTTTGGAATTTGATTGTCTTCTGTCGTGCTCTTCTCCTAGCAGTGCAGCGAGTATCGTAATAGATTTTTAAGATTATAATATAAAGAAATCATCTTATTTATCATATGTAAGTTTTGAAGTACTCTATTTCACTACAAGAGCTTTTATATTTGATTATTTGGAACCATTAATTTATGCTGAATATCAACATATATTGATGTATGTGTTCAAGGATATGTTAATGTTTTATTGATGGTTTTAGTTTGGTATTACAATTTAGTCAAATAATTGTACATTTAAAATGTAGTACGGAATACTTTTAAAATAATTGTGTATCACATTATAACGACAACATATGCTTTTGTATAGTATATAAGAATGATTAAAAGACATAACTTTTTAAGTTAGTAATTATTAGTTAGTAACTATTAGTAACTATTAAGAAGTCAATATTAAAGTGCACACAAATGGACAATGGTGTCATTGTTCCGCTTTAAAACTGCCGTCACTTTCCTGTATTGTCTTGCAACGGACACAACAGTACGGTCGAGTACCGACAATGGCCAACAGCGCTTCTTAACAAGCTGGTATCTGATTCGATACTAGCTCTATAGCATAAAAAGATTTTTAATTTATGTGAATGAAAGACGAATTGTGCATGCAGTAAGTACTGTTTTAATAAAAAGCAGAGCAAGGAATAGCTATGT